AAAACTTCATTGAAAAAATCAATACATACAAAATAACATTGGTTCATTTAAAAGATCAAGAACCAAATTGGAAAAACTACCCAACACCAAAAATTCGAACCCGTAAAAACCGATCCCGTAGTCAATTCATAAAAGCATTGATAGAAAAAAAATAAAATATTAAGCCATCATACAGTAAAGTGGCCCACAATATAACTTGGGGGCATTCCCTTCAACTCAAAAAGTGAAAGAAGAAGAAGAAGAAGAAGAAGAAAACATAGCGTTACAACAAATTAACTGCCAAAACTTGAATACAGGGCTTCCCTAAGGGCTATACAGCACTATTTCAAGGGCTCTCCACTATACAAAATAAGGGCAGGCAAGAGGGGAGGGTGTTGGTTGTTATATACATAAGGTGCATCTCAAAATAAGCAACAGATAGCAAAAAATACATATAATGCAAGCGACCTCGTGACATTGCATACATACTTGCAAGTTCTTTTTTTGGGTCGTTGTGCTTATTATTTGTGGGTCTGCATTCAGGTTTGTCGTTGAAGGCACATGCTCGCTCAAGTAGCAGCATGCTGTTCGTTCATTGCCTCCTCCTCCAGTGCTTAATTTGATACCAACCTGGGTTTATGATCATTGCCATAGATGGGCTTGTCTACATCGCTATGCCGGATTGGCCCCGTATCGATCTCGTACGATGAGAGCAGTCTTCTCTGCAAAGGACAACAATAAAATAGTTAGTAAACATATAGCATTRGTGAATAGCAAACAGTGAAATGAGAGAAGAAAGAGATGGTGCGTTACACTATCAAGAAGAAAGGTCAATAATCTGTTAGTTTTATGATTTATCACAAGGATATATCTGGATTCAGTGAAGCAAAAAGTGAACAATCATAACGCATAGAATGGATCAAATACTACTAATTCATTTCTTAGTTATATATATATTCCCTTTTCAACATATTTTTTTAAAAAGAAAAACTTTACCTGGTTAACTAAATGAGAAAGAATTTGGAAGTTGGAATGACATTAGTTGGATCGGGAGTAAATTTTTAATGTTTTTTTTTATTAAGAAACGAGACTTTCATTACCAAAAAAGAGAGGAGATAAGATATCTCTAACCACCAAAAGGTTACAAAAAAGCCTTACAATTGGTGACTATCTGAGTGATTCCATAGTTTCAAAAAGGCTTAGTAATAGCAGACCAAGAGGAAACAAAATTTTTTACAAGATCCCAGAAGGAACTTCGGTCTAATATGGTGTTGTGGAAGATTCTTCTATTTCTTTCATGCCACGACCTCCATAAAAGCCCCGCTACAGCATTGGACCAAAGGATTTGAGCTTGGCTGTTGAAGTTTGTTTCCAAGATTAGTTGAGTAAAAGCATCTGAGGCCTTATAGGGAAAACCCCAACTGAGGCCGAAGGTGTTTAATAATCTTAATTCTTATCCAACAATCAAAGACAAATTGGCAGGATAGGAATAAATTATCTGAATCTTCATTACTTTTTCGGCAAATAATGCACCAGTTTGAGCTAATACTTGAGGCTGGCATTAGTTTCTGGATTCTGGCAGCTTTAGAAAGATCCACAAGAACACCTTGACTTTCTTAGGAATTTTCAGTTGCCATATGAAATCACCATTCCTTTGTTGCACAATCTGATGGCCATTGATAAGCTTAGGGACGAAAGACAACTGAAAAAAGCTCCATTGCTCTCCAAGGTCCAGAATGTAGTATCTTCTTGGTTGGTCGGGGTAAATTTTTAATCTTATGTTTGCAATAAATATCTTTTTCCTTTTTGTGTCCAAGTAAACTCGCAGTCTTGCCTAYACCACGACTAGTTTCAAGAGACAACCACTTATTTAGGGTGCAATTTGAAATCCTAGGTGGRTGGCAAACCTTGAAAGCCCTTAACTTTTTTCCATTAGTAAAATCCAATTTGCAATAAATATTCCAAAATTATTTTGATAGTGATGTCTGAAGAATCAATTTTAAATTGGTGTCGGACTTGAAAGGAAGTCTAGAGAGAAAGGAAAAGGTAATCAGAGAACGAGAATGATATCCTCCACATAAAAGGAATAAAAGAATGAGAATGATTTTAACTTGGTGGGGTACATAACACAAACTTAACTACCAWGCTTAACATGAAATGAGAACGAAAATGAGAATCTTCCGCAGGGGAGGAACGAATTTTGTTATCCTATTCTGGTTCCTAGAAAGTAAAAAAATATCTCAATATAAAAAAGTTTATATAACTATAAATAAAAAGGAACAAAATCAAGCCAAATTATCCAGAACGGTTCATAATTTAAAATGCCTGACAAAATAATCTTCTTCAGTGAAAAAAAAAAGCCAAACGAAACCAAATATGTYGAGGATCGTTTATTGATTCGGAGGTGAAAATCATAATGAGGAAGAACGACCATTTCTCCAAATCCGTTCCTACTAGGTAACGATACTGGCTTCTAATTTAGTAATTTTCAGGAAAAAGGCAAACCAGAGAGCACAGACTCTTTCCAATGGGAGGAYGATTTTCATTTCACTACACAGACCTAGTATGCAAATAAATTCTGCTGCTCATTCAAATAATTCAAGGAGGCAAACTGAAGCATATATAGCCTTAAAATTATCCCTCATCTACCAGATGAGAGAGACTGGTTCTCATTTCTCTATTCAGTTCTGTTATAAAAGAGATACCGATGTGAGATGGTTAAAACATTAGGTTACTTTAATCTAGTTAATATTAGTTWACTTGTCAATTTTAGATATTTTTTTTTGACATTCGTGAGTGTTAGGACCAGCTTGCACACACCTCAACTAATCCTATGGGACAACCGCTAGATCCTMCTRCATTTGGTTACCAAGGTAACTCTCCCTCTAAATTCTTTACCATTTATATGGCYCTTATTGACCACTRAACCAAACCAAGATGGGTGTTAATTTTGGGTTAATTAATATTTTTAATTTGTTAATTAGTGTCTCAGTATTAATTAGTTTATTTGTGTTGTAATGCTATAAATAGTGTAGTCACTTTTTGTATTGTATAGGAAACTCTTGAATATTTTATTCAAATAGAGTGTTCTTAGAGAGGTTTCTCTTGACATCCTAATTCAAGTGTCCAAGACTCCAATTTTGTTGGAACGCAACAAGACTGTCCATACCTCGCAGCCCTGATACTACCCCTTAAAACAACGCACATCAAAATAAATGGAACCATAAAAAAGATCCACTGGATATCAAAGTTTTTGTTGTTTAACACTTCTATTAAACCTTTTTTCCACCCACCAAAGCACAAAATAAATGATAAAACTACGGAGGATGATTGGTACTTACATGATCCTCAAAATCTGGACTGATCAAATTGATGGACAAGTTCCTCATCAACAGCAAAACCTTCATGGAAAAAATGAATATGATTTAGTTTACCATGCATGTTACATACTGTAGACCATGATGCTCAATGGAGCCCTTAACATAATTACTACATTGTGACAGAAGAAATATGGAATTACACAAATATTGCAACCATGACAGACGTGAAACTCACACAAATCTTTATACAACTAAAGCAACAATGTGACGAAGTAGAGAGGAAAAAGGGTATAAATCATACAGTTTCAACGTCAATTGGGTCCATCCTTTTTAACTTTTGCAGATGACCTGAAGCATTTGGATCAAAGACACTGCCAATGAAACTGTAAACCTGAGTGAAATCTGGCAGAACTGCACAACAAAAGGGCATTAAGCAAGTATCAAGCAAAAAAATAATACACAGGAAAAAGGGATTAAAGATTCACTACAGGAACTCATACCGAAATTTATTGCTATAAAACATAATAACACCAGAGTTCACAAATATTTTCAAACTCCCTTTGTTGGGCTGTTTTTTTGTATGCCCTTTTTGTTTTTGTATGGTTTTCATTTCTCTCAATGGAAGTGCTGTTTCTCATCAAAAAAAWATATATATATTTTCGAACTCCCATGTTTGAGGGAAAGTGGGGTTTTTTTTAGCTACTCATATTACAATTGATAATTACATGCCCTTAATAATCACAGAAGGTCTTGACTGAATGGTAAAAAATCAGGATGCTTTTTCACCAAATTCTCTTTTGTGGAGTTTTATTTTCCGAAGTAGAGAGGAAAAAGGGTATAAGTCTAAACATGGAGTATTTTAGATTGGCTTAATGAGCTTGCTCCGTGACTTAACAAGGAAGGAAATACTCCGTGTTTCCATATTGAATAGTTAAAGCCAATCTAAAATATTTGCAATATAATAGTATAATTTGAAGTACATGCAAATGAATGAGAGTATTACCTCTAAGAGGATGATTATTACTTCCTTGATCAGTTGCTTCAACAAGAGTGCGTGCTTTTGATGGGCTTTCAGTACCACTGCAACAATTATTTGCTACTGTTGGCACTGCACATATATAAACCAAACAAAAGTGTTACAAATATAAACATATAATCCTAATAACACCTGCATCCTATAAACAACCCTCTTATTGCTCTACTTGCAAAATTTCCATGCAAGGTAGGCCTCAGCCACATCATGCTAGGTTTTCAGGGCTTCTAATTGCATCCATCTTGAACAGTGTGACTCAATTGTATAAAATTATGAAAAAATAATGATTCAAATGTATCTAGTATTTAGAGCTTTAATACCTTGAGATGAATTAAGTGGCTGAACAGAGTTCACTGTCCAAGAAGGTACAGCTCCACCTGGAGCCGGACATGCAAGTATTGAAGAGGAGTCCGGCCTTATAATGTATCCAGGTTCAACTAAAGGAGACGTTGACTGAAATGAACCTGGAACTTGAGAAGGCATTGCAACTGACAAGTAGCACACATGAGATTTGTGAGCCACTGTTGCAACAATATCATGCAGTAGTGATACCAAGCAAACTAAAGAGACAGATAGGGGGCAACTAACCATTTTTTGAAGCCTTCTGAGGATAAGGATGAGCTGCCTTCCTTTTCGGTCGTGGAGGAGGCAAATGCTCACCTCCTCCAGTTTTCTGAACTTTTAAGAAGTACTTCTGTGCATGACTACGTATCTGTAGGGTGCATCATTCTTTTAGTTATCATTCATAAATTAAGAAATATAGGCCAACGACTAAAGTGATTGTTACGACTGTCCCCACAGGCTTTTAATTGTAAAAAATAAACCCTCGTAACTTACATAATCGGAAAATTTGGACCTTGCAGTTAACTCAATTACATATTCATTTCTTAAAAGATCATAATTCGATTATCCTAGTCTTCTAATTACAAATGTTGTTTTAGCTAGGGTTGTGTTCACGGATAAGTAAGGTGTACAAAAATGCATTATGGATGCAACAAAGACAATGACATATGTAGATTTTGACAAGGAAATTAAAAGGCTTAYTCAGTTAGATATGGCAAATGATGACTTCTTTCAAGGAATTTGCCCAACAAACGAAATTTTTAATTGAGTCAATGACATGTCCAATTTTTCCAATTATATAACTTTTACCATTAAAAGTTTGTTGGTGCAACTGGAACATCACTATAGTTTAGAAGAGTTCACTCAACACTCCCAAACACCATAAGTTGCATATAACAAGGATTTGGCATTAATTACCTGTATAACAGTTTTCGATCCAACAAAAGCTTCAATCTTCTTCCAGTCACGATCAAAACTGTATATGGAGTGATAAAAAATATCAGAAACTCATACTTGGGGCATCTGCCAGGGAAAGCTTAAAAACAACAGTGAGTAGTATCTTCAACTAAGCCCCCCACCCCAATTTCTCTTTTTACAACATTTAAATGAACAAGCCAGACATCATATTTAAGTCCTTCCATCTAAATCTGAGAATTTAGAGTCGAAAATTAACTGCTTCTCCATGAACAGCCCACAACCCCAATATCTCTTGCTTTTCCACCTTTTCTTGTGCCTAACACCGACTCCATCAACAACCCACAATCTCAATATCCTCTTACTCTTTCTTTTGCCCAACACCAAGTAGGATCGATTATCAGTCTTACATGTAAGTAACAAAGAACATATTATTTCCTAGTATAGCAGTTAAGCTTGTTAATAACGGTCATAAACCCAGTACATAGAGTCTATCAAATTTGATTTAAAGAATTGTCCTACTAACAATTTCTAACGCCTTTTCAAAAACAGATAGATCCTCAAAACCCTACTCAAAACCCCACCATTTTCGTTTCAATAGAAATTACAAAATTCAACTATTTTCCAGCTCAAACTTTCCCATCACCCGACCATACCTGTTCCTACCCACCACAACATCACAAATACCCAAATTGAACCACTAAAACCTAAAATTGGCCTCCAATTCCCCGCATTTTTTTACATTTCCTCTGCCCCCAACCTCCAACTCAAAAATCCAAATCACACACTAAACTCCATCACACTGAAAACCAACACGCATCAAATTGGAAAACCCTAAGCAAGAAAACCAAAACAATTAAGTAAAAGGAGGAGGAGAAATGTACAGCTGAAGAGCTTCAAGGAACTTGTCATGCTCAGGCTCAGTCCAGCTCTCCCTAGACTTGGTAATTGTGTAGGGTTTACGAATCTTCTTCGACAAATCCTCCGCTGCCGCCGCCGCCGCCGCCGAGGCCGCCATGGTTGTGGCAAATGGTCCAAGCCCTGGCAACGCCACTCCGGACGGATCCAAATAGAACCCCTCCGACGGATTCGGATTGTTAGACACCATCAGAAGACAAATCAGAGGGAAAGTGGTTCAGGTTTTCAGAAAGTAAAAAGAAAAATGCGGCTCCTACATGGCCGGTTCTGAATTTATAGATGAGCTCGAGTTGTTATCCTATGCCATTTCTTTAAGTTAGGTTCAAGAAGACACGCAAATCACTGATCGAAACGTGGCCATGGATGCTAATTAAGAAATTAGTTAGAAAAAAAAAAACTTAATCAAATATCTTGTTTCTAAAAAGTCAATTTCATTTATCCATCTCATAAATAACCTTTCTTTTGAACCCTTTAACGAAATCCATAATTTTTATGACATTTTTTTTACCTCTAATTTAGGATGAGTTTGAGTTTTAGCTTGAGATGTCTTATCAGTTTAACTGATTTTTAATAAATATTTTAAATTCGATCTCGACGATAATAATTGGTAACGTGGCTTTAATATTTCCATGAGAGTTTTGATACATTTTTTTTAATTTAACAACATGTAGATGTAAGTATTTGAATTTCTATTTATTTTTAGATTTTGAATTTAAAACTTTAAGATACATAATTACATTTAAAAAAATATTTTGATAAATGTACTATTTTACGTTATGAGTTCTTTTTTCTTTTTTGTTAAAATTAAAACTGGTAAAATATATATATAAATTAATTTATATTATTTTAATATTTTATGAATGTAGTACTAAAATAGATGGAACAATCTTTTAAATTGATATTCAATTTTCAAATCGATTACTATATACATATTTAAAAATAAAATACAACTTTATTTTTCACTCTTATTTTTGATTGATTGAACTTAGTTATAATTAACCCATTTAAATTGAAAAGGAAAGGAAAATAAAGCGAAATAGATAGAAATATGAGAATATTGGATATTGGATATAATTTAATTATTTGTAGAGAAAAAATAAAGGGAAAAAAATCTCAAGTGTTTGGGGAGGGCTCACGGTGGTGCGTCTCGTAGGCAATAATAGCTCTTGCATGTCAGAGAGCAGAAAGGGAGAAAGTCGGTTAACGTGGGAGGTTGAATTTGAAAGTAACAAAAGGGACACGTGGCATGAAATTACCGCTACTTGTAATCTCAATTTCTTTATTGTTTGGATTTATTTACACCAGCTCGATTAATTTCATTATATTATTATATTATGTTGAAATATTTGGTTAATAGGTTTAAATATTATTTTAGCATATGTAATCTCGAATTTAATTTATTTTGGTTTACTTTCCATTTTTATTGTACTCTTCCCTCCCTACTTTTAAAATGACCATTTTAGTGGGTTGGTTTTTATTTTTATCTAATTTATTTAGATCAAAATTTTTACATACTATTTTACTAGTAAAATAATTTTTGAAATGTAACCATAAAATTGTATTAGATAGTTTTCGTTGCGTTAAAATTTTGAAATTAAAGGGGTCATTTTGTAAAAGTCTAGAGATCAAATTAAAATAAATTCGAACATACATTGACTAAAATAATATTTAGACCTAAAAGATATATACTATAATTAGGTTTTTGGCGGACTTGAAGGCACACACAAAATCAGAGAAATAAGAAAGACTTTAGCTTCCATATTTTTTTAGTACAATATGTGACGGTGGGAAATCGAAATTACAACCTCTTGATTGGAGATATATGTCAATTACCGTTGAGCTATCTTCGTTTTGACATACTTTTTCTTCAATTAAACCCATATAAAAAGTTTAGTGTAATCGGTCTATTCAACAAAATATATATATTTCATGCATAAGCTCAGGACGGTTGGTTATGAAAATTTAGAGATATTGATGTTATATAGTGAAAGAGTATACATATCGGTCGAATTTGTAGTTCTGAGAAAACTATTACAAAACATATATACTTAAGAAAATTATTTAATGTGGTTGTTGCTACGAGGGATCGTTTGTGTYGTTGGGACTCTTCTGTTTGTACTTCGTGTGTGTAGGGACCATCTTTTTTTAGTGTCCCTTTGTTTGGGAGGTATGTTCTGACATGATTGTTTGGGTAGGTTCTTCTCACCGGTGTTATATTGGTCTATTGACCTTGCTTGGATTTGTCACATTAGTGACGAGAAGTATGCTCGTTGTCATACGCGTTTGGCTGTTTCGTTTATAAGGGAGTATAATGTTAGAGTTCATTTGGGTAGTGTGGGTCAGTCACATTCTTTCCTTTCTAGGAGTTACTTTTTGAGCCACGATCTTATGACTATCTCGACCTGGGATTTGTTTTCTTGATTTTTCTATCTTTTTTCTTGATTTTCCTATCTTTCTTCTTGTCTTGTGTTTACCCTTTGGAGATTGTGCCTTACAAAAAGTTATTTTATATAGTTTGTTTTTTTTTTCATTACAATTAACTACGACATGTATAATCAAATTATTGGCATCTTGGATGATAATAAGTGTATTACACGACTAAATTTCAATTTTATAGGGCTGAGTGGATGAAGTTTTAGAACCACTCCTAAAAACAAATGCCTTGTTGCAACTTTTAATTTTTTAAGGTTTATTTTAATCAAATATTATTAATTATATATAAATCCGCAGGAACATTGTTGCTTGATTTGCCACTTGCTCGCCTAGGTTTTTAGTTTTTCATAGTGGCATAAATTTGTCTATATTTTATAGTGCATTAATTTTTCTCTATTTTATATCGGTGGAGACAGTAATTGGTACTTTCCAAGTAATGTAATTACTAATTGGTAATTTTCGATTGAGATGAAAGATGAGTTTCTACACAAATTACTTGAGTATTGTATACACTGGAATAGAAATTTCTAAATTTTTTAGTTCAAATTCAATTTACATATAATTTCACGAGTGAAAAAATGCTAATCACTAATTTAATTGGTATTATATATTCTTATGGACGAGAAAATCTCAATTTTCTACCATTCAAATTCCCTCTGGTTGAGGAATTCAAAAGGAAGATATTTATGATTCAGATATCCTATATTTAAATGAGAAGAAATCCTGATTGATTCTCCCCAGATTTAATTAGATGTATGATTATTCAAATTCCACAATTCGGATCAGATTCAACTCATATAGGGAAGTAAGCCAAACCCTGCTCACAACACTCTACATTTTAGCATCAGAGTCTGTGTGGCAAAAGCCACATCAATCGGTGCTATTTTGTTTTGCAGGTCTCGTTAATCCCTTTTATTCTAGAAGATTGGTGTGAATTTGATGGAATCAGAGGTMAAATTCATGCATCAACATATATATATATATATATATTATTTTATATGTAATTGAGTTTTAAGCTTTTCTTGACTATATTGTGTATTTTTATTCAAGTACACTTATATTATCACCAACAACTAATGAAATGATATTTAGGACCCGTTTGGTAACGTTCCTGTTTTTTTTTTTCTCGTTTCCAAATTTTTTAAAAATTTTAAGCATTTTACAATTAACTTTGTTTATTGTTTCTCATTTTTTTTTAAACATTCTCACAATTATATAGAAATTTTAAAAGCAACCAAAACAAATTTGTTCCAAAACATAAATAAAAAGATTGTTTTATCATACAGAAAAGAGAAACAGAAACGTTACCAAACGAGTCCTTAATTTCTTTAACTTTTTAATTATGTTTATTGGAATGGCCCCAAAATCATATATATCACGTGACCATGTGCCCACTTCCTCATTTGACCCAAAAATTTCTTTCCTTCCAACAAATGATTAATTTTTAGGCTTTTTTTACTTGGAAGAAGGTACATTTGCTGTCAATTGGTTATTCGTGGAGAGAGTTTTATTATTATTTTTTAATTAATTCAAATTTAGAATTTTATTCAGCCTCTCATAATGTACCCAAATTTTTGTTGACTAGTTTATTATTTTTAGGCTTAAATAGGTCTCTTGTTGAACTACAAAAGTGCTCCTTAGTTACAATTAAAAAAAATATAAACTTAATTAAAGTGATGAAATTAATTACACTATTCATTTAAGGTTTAAGGTTAGGGTTGAATGTGAATGAAATTGAAAATTGATAAATCTAAAGAGTAAGAATGAAAATTTTGCAATTAATTATTTATACGTCTTCTAAATCATGATTGCTTATTTTTACCCTTGAATTTGATAAACTGCATCACTTTTACTTTAAACTTTAAATTTTATCGAATTAGATTTAAATAATGATTTCACTGTTCATTTTAAAATTATCCAAGTGTGCTCGACAAATTACAAAAATCTAAGAAATATATTATGACACTAGAGCATCTTGTTCATTGCCATTTTTTGGGCTTATATAATTTAGAGCATGGGCTATAATAATTAGTTGTATTGATTTTGGTAGGCCTGATTTTCTTAAATTTTTAGAGTTTTATGTTCCTTTTTATTGAAATTAGTACCTAAATGAATACGGTGGAAGTTGATAGATATGATAAAAATTGTAACACTTATTCCGATATTAAATTTAAATCGATGAAAATGAAACTTTATGGTAAAAATTGATTAACTATGCCAGATGGACAAAAATTGATTAACCACACTAAGGTTGAGGGTAAAAAAAAAAAAATTTCCCCCCTATTTTTATGTTTAATTGGTTAACTTTAAAGAATTTTGTATGTGTAGCATGGTTTTTTTTAATCATTTACAAATATGTACTTTTATAAAAGTAATTTATAAATATCTCATTTTTTAAAAATAACTGTAAACATAGTATTTGTTTTTTAAAAATAACTAATTTAACGGTAAATTAATATGCTTTTTATTTTATAGAATATCCCTTCAATTTGACATAAAGTAGAAGTTAATCAAAATATTGGTTAGCTTAAATTAATCAATATGAACTTAGTCCCGTGGTTAAAACATTATCTTACTTTTTTTTCTAGAAGTCAGAGGTTCAATCTTCTCTTTCTACCTTCGTTGTACTGAAGAAAAAATTATAATCATACCAAGTAATGATTAATCTATATATATATATATATATATTAACTAACCTATTATTGATAAACTATAACCACAAGTTAATCTACATATTTGTTACATATAGTATAATCAAAATGTCAAGCGATGTAAGTATTAGAAAGCAACGCAGAAGTGTTCTAAATGCAAGAAAAGGCGTATGCA